CTCATTGTTATCATTTGGCTTGATTGAATTGAATATTCTTGAATCACCGGTCATGTGTTGAGTGCACACACTATCAAGCACCCTATGCCTTCATCCGGCTTTGTAATTTACCTACAAGAAAAGATCAATTCTTTTTAGATACCCAAACTTGTTTGGATCCTCCAAGGTTAGTTACTAAGCTTTTGGGCACCCAAATTGCCTTTTTCTTTGGGCCAACAATGGGAGCACCAATAAACTTTGCCTTTACACCATTAGTACCCTTGGTAAGCATGTAGCAAGATTCAAAACAAATAGAGGATACATTAGTATTGTTCTTCTTGTTCTTGCATGCTTGCTCTACATGCCCAACTTGCTTGCATCTAGTGCAAAACGGACCATTGCCCTTCACAAAACTAGTCTTGTGAGTTGTAAAGGTCACCTTGCCATTCTTGGGGGTATAGCCCAATCCTTCTTTGTTGAGAGAAAATCTTTGGCTACCCAAGCACTTTAGCAAGCGGGCCTCACCGCTATAGGCTTTACCTAAGGCGTGAGTGAGCTCATTTACCTCCTTCTTAAGGGTTTCATTCTCAACCATTAGTGAGGAATCACTTGTGAAACCATCACTAGTAGATGAGGTAGAAGTGGATGTGCTGCAAAAAGGGTTAGTGGGAGCAATAACACTAGGCTTATAAAAGGATTCATCAATAATATTACAAGTTAAGCCTTTGTTACTTGTTTGAATTTGTTCCTTCTCATTTTGGGCAACAAGAGAAGTGTGAGCTTTCTCAAGCTTGGTGTGAGCCTCTTTAAGCTTTTTATGGGCTTCCATTAGCCTCTCATGAGATGCTTTTAGCTCCTCAAAGGATTGCTCAAGAGCTTTGTTGCTCTTGCGCAATTCTTTGCATTCCTTTCTCTTTATGTCAAAATGATCACGAGCATCTTCAAGCATGTCAATTAGTTCATCTAGAGTGGGTTCATCATCATTATCACTATCACTTTCATTGTCACTCTCATCATAATTTGTACCTTTGAGCCCTTGGCCATGAAGCATGATGGAGAGTCAAATAGTGAAGGCTTGTTGATAGCAACACTTGCAAGAGCCTTCTTCTTGCTTGATGTCTTCTCATCATCACTATCATCATCACTTGTCGATGCATCAATATCAAAAGTGACTACATATGATACTCCCTTCTTCTTCTTGAAGATCATTTTGCTCTCTTTCTTGCCCTTCTTCTTGATGTTCTTGTCATCATCGTTGTCACTATTATGTGGGCAAACCTCAATGAGATGATCCTTGCTATTGCACTTGAAGCATCTTCTTCGTTCATCCTTATTCTTGGAGGATCTCTTCTTTCTTCTAGCACGATAGCCTTTATTCATCATGAATTTGCCAAATCTCTTTACAAATAAAGCCATTGCTTCATCATCTTCTTCATCACAAGTACTTGGGCACTCATCATTGCTTACTCTTCTTGCTTGGCCTTGCCCTTGGATGATGATGTGGCCTTGAATGCCACACTCTTGTTCTTTTCAACCTTCTTCTCATTTTCTTCCTTGTCATCACGGTATGTATCATTGGTCATCACATCACCAAGCACTTCATTTGGTGTCATTGTGTCCAAACCACTCCTTACCAATAATGTGACCAACATGCCAAATCTTGGAGGGAGACATCTCAAGAATTTATGAGAGAAGTCCTTGTCCTTCACCTCCTCACCAAGTCCTTTAGATCATTTACCAACACTTGGATCCTATCAAACATCTCTGGTACATTCTCATCTTCCTTCATCTTGAAGCTAGCAAACTTCTCTTTGAGGATATAAGCTTTGGCACCCATGATGGCTTGTGTGCCCTCATATGACTCTTCTAGCTTTACCCAAGCATCATGAGCCATCTCCATCTTCTTGATTTGATCAAATACCCTTTGGTTGATAGCATCATGAATGACACTAAGAGCAATCTCATTGTTTTGCAACTTTTCTTCTTCGGCGATGGTGGGAGCATTCGGATTAGCAACCTCAAACTTGGTGCAAACCCAATCACCAAGTGCCTCTAGTTGCAATCACTCAAGCAATGCACTTGGAATCACTCAATCTCACTTTGATTTGCACTATCAAGGAAGGAGATGAGTGGGAGGGAGTATGCTTAGGTCAAAGGGATGTTAAGAATGTCCAAATGCCAAGAGAGATACCACAAAGCCAGCCAACTACAATTTATAGACACCCCATTGAAAACATACCCGTTGGCCCCTTTAGTGGGCTAACTGCGCATCGACCGGACGCGCTGCAGGGTGCATCGGACGCGTCCGGTATCTCTTTGGATGCCACGTGTCCTAGCCATTTGAATGTTACCGTTGGCGCGCAATGCCTCCTTTGCGCATGCTCACTGCACTCACACCAGACGCGTCCGGTCAACTGACCGGACTCGCAATGCCTCAGCGTCCGGTCCAACTCAGAGAGGTTCTAGAAATGATTTTTCCTGACCAGACGAGTCCGGTCAGCTTGACCGGACATTCTCTGCCTGCCGAGCAACCGAGGTAGCATCGCGTCTGGTCGTGCCTGAGGGCCAGCGTCTGGTCGCCGCTGCGCTGCTGCCCTTCTCCTAGGGTTTGTCACCGGACGCGTCCTGTCCCATGGGGACTAGCGTCCGATCACAGCAGTGACCCCTTCTCTTATCTCCAACACTTCACCCTTGCTCCCAAGTGCTAAACACAATATGTATCACCTTTGTGCATGTGTGTTGGCATATTTTCAAAGCATTTTCAAGGGTGTTAGCACTCACTATAATCTAAATGCATATGCAATGAGTTAGAACCTCTAGTGGCACTTTGATAACTGCATTTCACAATGAATTTCGCCCCTCTTCATAGTACGGCTATCAATCCTAAATACACTCACACCCTCTATGATATCTTGAGTGCCAAAAACAAAATGGCCCTATCAAGTATACCTTTGCCTTGAGCCCATTTTATTTTTCTCTTTCTTCTTTTCAAGTTGGAGCACTTGAACATCATAGCCGACCACTCCTTTACCTTGGCCGATCACTCCAAAGCACAGCCGACCACACGCCGACCACTCAAGTGCCTTGCCGACCACACTAGTGCCATAGACGACCACATAAGAGTTTTGGCCGAGCACACTAGTGTCATAGCCGAACACTCAACTTGTTCTTGGACCAGTCCTTTCTTTGCTACACACACTTCACACTTAGGTCAGTCCAAATAGGTTTCATCAATTAGCCAAAACCAAAAAAGGGTTTTCACACAGTGAGGCCCAAAAAACACTCGACAAAGGCTTTGCCGAGTGTTACACTCGGCAAACAGCGCACGGCATACATAGTGCCGACAAAAGTTTCTTTGCCGAGTGTTTTTTATCGGGCACTCGGCAAAGACTTTGCCGAGTGCTAAAACCAACGGTTGGCAAAAAATAGCAATGTGATGGCACGAAGATGGTCACGGCGCCTTTGCCAAGTGTCTAATGGCCTGGGCACTCGGCAAACATGCCCTTGTTTGCCAAGTGCCCGGCCATGACACTCGGCAAACATGCCTTTGTTTGCCGAGTGTCCAGGACCTTACACTCGGCAAACATGGCTTCTTTGCCGAGTGTCACATCCCAGACACTCGGCAAAGACTGGCCATTCTAGGCCCAGATTTTGGCCTCCTTGCCGAGTGTCACAGTGACACTCGGCAAAGATGGTCATTTTAGGCCTAGAACGCATAGATTTTTGCCATGTGGCCTCTTTATCGAGTGTATTTAGCATGGCACTCGGCAAATAGCCCTTTTGCCGAATGTAACACTCGGCAAAGATACCATATATATCTAGTTTATTTGGTTCGGTCATATATAACGTACCACACTCAAATAAACATTACATCCATCACAGATAGTTCACAATAAGCATCACAGGTAGTTCATATAGATATATCGACAACACATAAATGCAAATAAACTTCAAAATCACAAGTAGGTTCATTCACAATCACAAATGCAAATAAAATTCACATTCACAAGTAAGTTTGTTCACAGTCGCTCTCCAGGCCCATCAGAAATGCAAATAAACGTAGTCACTGTGACCACGGTTGGTCATAAGGCTCATTCAATGCCATAGATTGATTCTGCACAAAGGAGAAGAGATAAATCATTCACAGTGATTGAGAACGAAACATACAAGTATTAGAAATAAACTAGCGACTAGAAATAGTAATTAATTCTGCGGAAACTAAAAGTAGCTAAGTTACAGTGATTGAGAATGAAACAAAGATTACAAGGTTAACTACAAACTAGAAATAAACTAGAAATTAGAAACTAGAAACATACGCACATCACAAAGGAGAAAAGATTGATTCTGCATAAATTAGAAACGGTGATTATAAGGTTGTGAAGTGACTCATAGTGCTGGAAACAATATTTGGAGCAGGTTGAGGAGGAGGGACTAGCATCGGTGGCGGAGGTTGACCGATTGCAGCGTAAACACCCCTCATCATTTCAAACATCTACAGCCGCTCTGCCTCCATCCTCTGCCGCTCTACCTCCATCCACGCCTCTAGCTCCTCCCGGAGCCTCGTTTCTTGTTCTAGTTGAGCCTACAATATTTCATTCACTACAAAAAATCTGGGTTTGTATGACAAACTGAAAATGTCATGGTAAATACAAGATTTGTCATAAAAAGAATCTTATGACGAAAAAGCAGCGTCATGCCGGTCGTCATATAACGACTGTCACAAAATGTACCTTGTGACGATAATATAGAAAGCCGTCACAAAATGTGATGACCTTTTGTGATGGTTTTGATGTGTTGTCATATATTATTGTCATTTAATGATGACAATAACTGTCACATATTGGTTGGTCAACTCATCACCTAATACATGAACCATTACAAATTGTACGCTAGGAGCCCTAATTTAGACTAGTTATTGTGACGATAGGGCAGATCTTGTGACATTTACATTGTGACAAATGTGGCATTACCATATGTATTAATTCAATGACGAATGTCACATAGATGTTTCAGCATTCTCATCACAGCTCATACATATCAGCCAAGCCATCATCCATATACATTCTAGAGAATAAGACAGAAGACAATTGCTTGCAGGTACCGAGAGATAGCATAAAGGATTTTCCTAATACCATGAATGGAAGTGCCAAGAGATAGAAGATTCCCTCATCATTGTCTATAGTTGGAATGAATTCATCAATGAGCACATGTGGTCTTGAATCTCCGAGGCCAACTTTTTGTTCCAAATGTTCAAGCAACTCCAATTCAGAAGGATCAAACTTGACTCCAGCAGGCAGCCCAGGCCGCATGGCAACCTGCAGAATTTGAAATGTAGGAAAAACTTGCTCAGATATGTAACATCTACAACTGAATATGATCTAAAAGCCAAATGCCTATTCTCCAACAACCTAAATAGAATAAATATACTCACATCACTGTTATCAATAACATAACTGCAGTTTGGGCATTCCCTCCATGCTTCTGCAATCAGTTCACTTATTTGGCAATTAGCGGTAGGAGTTGCGTATCTTATTTTCTTTGCAATTCCCCTTAAAGGTATCAGCCATGACCTATAACAAAAGGAGCATATCGGTGCTGGTCCCTAAAGAAGTACTTGCACAAGATAATTTGAAGACAAACATGCTCAAATAGTTGAATTTTTTTGTATTTTTAGCTAGTAGTATATGTGTAACAAACATGCTCAAATGTTGTAACAACAGGAAGCAAACCTAGCAAAAATGTTTATAACACATCAGGGCAGAGCATATGCTCTGCTCCTTTTCTTTTTTTACTTATATCCCCAATCTGTGCATGAATGCAAAACTGATCATGATAAATTCTGACTCGAAGCAGTGTGCTAGTGCAATTAGAAGTAATTGCAATCCAAGATCTTTTAAAGCTAATGCTACACATCGGTTGAACCTAATCCCAGTTGTGTGCATATTAATCAAATTAATAAAAAACTACATATATAGAATTTATGTGGGAATTGCTTTGCAGGCTGAAAGGAAATTGGACTGGCCCTTGACTTGTGATGCTTAATTTTAATGAGGACTTGTGGGCATGAGCATTTCTCAGACTGAACTGATGCTGCTGTACAAAGACAGATCAGAGAGGACACGGTGAGCTCCTGCTCATGCAGAAAACAGAGCTAAAAATAATAATTGTGGTTCAATATAACACATGTATAGAATAGAAGTGCAATCAGCAGTTATGTCCCCTCCAACCGCAGATATTATTTTCAGATGGAGACAAGATGCACAAAACGCACCACAGGATGTGAAGCTGCAGTTCTGTTCTGTTCAGCAGCTTAGTGCTATCTATTTTTGTGGCATGATTCAGTGTCACCTAATTTAGGTTCTTTCATCTGGTTTAGTGCTAGTCTTTTTTTTAACAAGTGCTTTAGTATAATCTAGAAGGAACATATATCCTTCCATTCAGAGTAGTAGCAAGGGAGATATTGGTCGAGCAAATTACCTTTTAAGCAAATCACCAATTCTCAACCAACGAGATGACCAACTCCTACTAGGGTCCATCAGAGAGATAATCCTGCATAAATAAAAGGCATATCAATTAGCTATTGTGGAAACTGGACTGCATAAATAACATCAGGGGCATCAATGCTTTTTACAAAGGATCATTCATCATTCAACATCAACATCTGTGCATCCCATTGTTCCAATGCTCATACTACTCATAATCCGTTGTGCCTGAACTGAACTGCAGCATCCAAAGACACTGCAACGTGCAATAGGATTCAATGCTACAACACAAAAACAAAAAACATCTAGCACTGACTGGAATCGAGGGTACCTGGTCGCAGGCGCTCAGCTCGGGGCTCATGGCGACCTGGTTCTTGGCTGCATCTCCGAGGAGCGCTCGCCTGAGGAGCTGCAAGTCTATGGGCCCAGGCGAATCCGTGCCGCTGGGGAGTCGCTGGGACCGGTCGTGTCCAGGCCGCCGAGGAGTCATGGGGGCTGAGCGAGTCCGCGTCGCCGGGGAGTCGTGGAGGCCGGGCGAGTCCGCACCACGGAGGATTGGCGGCGTGCTGCGAACCCTAGACGTTGGAACTTGCAATGCTCACCATGGTGTAGGAAAGATATAGGATGGTGAGCTTCTTGAACTCGAGTGCAAGGACCTGCGAGTAGAGGGAGAGGTCAAAGCCACCAGACCTTGTTGAATCGGACGCTGGTGAACTGCGACAGATCAAGGAGGAAGGCCCGCACGGGCTGCCTGGGAGACGGACAGGGCCGTGCGCCTACGCTGCCAGCCGGGGGGGAGAGGGTCGCATGCCTGCGCCGCCGGCTGAGAGGGGGCGCGAGGAGGCGGGAGACCGTGGGTAGGGTTTGGAGAGGGGGCGCAGCTTCAGTCGTGACGCAGGTGGATTTTGGGGGCATTGAGAGAAAACAGAGGAGATGATGACGATTTTGTCAATGTCAAGAAGGGAAAAGCGGGCTAGGAGGGAAGCGGGGCAGACTGGATTGAAAATTTGGAGTTGGGAGGGAGGAAGGGAGGGTGATGAGCTTGTCGGCGGGAGAGACGAAACATTAGGCGGCGGCGCTGATTTGGAATTTTGAGAAGAAACACTGAAACAGAGTCTAGGTTTCACGGGTCAGGTTAAATTGAGTATTTGAGACACTAAACAAATTTAAATAAAAAAATTATCAATTACAAAGTTGTATAACTTTTCAACATCAATAACTTTTGTTTTTGGAGTTTCTCCATCCGAGAGCTTTTACAAAATTTGAATTTCAAATTTGAAAAATTTAAACATAGTTTTCGTTGACAAGATGATTTCAAATCAAAAAGTTGTCAACTACAAAGTTGTATAATGTTTTGAGATATGCAACTTTTATCTAGGTTATTTCTCCATCCGAGGTCGTTTAAAAAATTCAAATTTCAAATTTGACAAATTCAAACGTAGTTTTCCGTGACAAAATGATTTCAAATGAAAAAGTTGTCATCTACAAAGTTCTAGAACTCATTGAGATCTACAACTTTTATTTTGGTCATTTCTCCATCGAACTTTGTTTGAACAATTCAAATTTTAAATTTAAAAAAATGACAACTTCAAACAAGATTTTGAAATAACAAATAATCTCAGCTGAAAAAGAGAGCAACAACAAAGTTGTACAACTCATCAAGATCTACAATTTTTATATTGGCTATTTATTCATCCGACAAAGTTATATTAACATCGTTCACAAATTTATATATCTCTCTTATAATTTATGAAACTACAAAAGAGATATGTAAAATTTGTGAACAATGTTACTATCACTTTGTCGGATGAATAAATGACCAAAATAAAAGTTGTAGATCTTGATGAGTTCTACAACTTTTATTTTCATGACATTTTCAGCTGAAACCATTTCGGGTTTCAAAATCTAGTTTGAAGTTGTCATTTTTTGAAATTCAAAAAATTACAACTTCAAACCAGATTTTGAAACCCGAAATGGTTTCAGCTTAAAAAGTCATGAATATAAAAGTTGTAGAATTCATCAAGATCTACAACTTTTGTTTTGGTCATTTCTTTGTCCGAATTCGTTTAGGTAATTTTAAATTTGAGTTTCAAAATTTGATAAATTCGAATAGAATTTTGACATAGTAAAATGATTTCAAATGAAAAAGTGAGCAACAACAAAGTTGTACAACTCATCAAGATCTACAACTTTGGTTTTGGTCATTTCTTCATCTGAATTTGTTTGAACAATTTAAAGCTGTTGAATTTAAACTCAAAATGGATTTACAAATTAAAAAGAAAAAAAGAAAGGAAAAAATGTGTCTCGGCCCTACTCTTATGGACCCGGCCTATCTCCCTCTACCCGTTTCCCCTCTTCCTTTTCACCTAGGCCAAGGCCCAGCTTCGAGCCCAACGTCGTGCGCCTTATCTCTCCCACGATGGGCTGGGGTATATTGACGCTAGGGCAGTCATATTTAAAAAAACATTCAGTGATGCTCCACAGCTATCACATAAAAACTCCACATATCGTCATAAAAACACCACCGTCAACCGGCTCTTGGCAACTTATATTTTGTGACGACTCTTGGTACCTTTATGTGACAAAAGAAATAGTTTCGTCATAAATAGTTCTGGCTGTCCTAATTTTATGACGCTACAAACTTTTGCGTAATATTATGATATATTATATGACAAAAAATTGCCCCGTCATGAGGATTTTTGTCATAGAAAGAAGGTTTTCTTGTAGTGATTCTAATGTTACAATGCAATGCAAAAGTATGTAAAAATCAATGAACGATGAATAAAACAGAAATAACCTAGAATGCATCCATCTAGAACCGTGTAGAGTCCGACCGTGGGTGTATTGCCAGGTTGGAACTCATGCTCCGTGCTCGAAGCTAGGAGAGAGTGGGAGTATCGGTCGTGTCGATTATGCCATCGCCAATCCAGAACCAGCCATGCTTCTTGCCTCCTCCCGCCCTCATGACCACTTCTCCATCAAGGTCATGGGTGCTCGGATCGTACTCTAGGGATAAAAGGGCCCGCCATACCTGTGTTGGTGCTCGTCGCTGGCGATGGATCCGACGAGGAACTAGCGAAGAGATGTGTTGAAGAGCGGCGGGGCGGGCAGGGGTCGGGGTAGGGCGGGCGTCGGTGGGGCCGAGAAGAAGGCGGCACCGGGGGGGGGCGGCGGGGGGGGGCGTGGGCATGGGGGCACGGAGGTCGGCGGTGGGAGACAGGCAACAAGCCAAGATCGTGGGCGTGGGCGGCGTCAGTGTGTGTGTGCGGGTGAGTTTGCGTGTGTGCGGGTGAGGGAGCGCCGGGCTGGATATGAAGAAGGTTTGCAGAGTGTCGGAGCGGGGCACTCGGCAAAGTTCAGTGTAGGACCGGGGCACTCGTCAAAGCCCAGCTTTACCGAGTGTCCAATGGGGCACTCGGCAAACCCCACTTTTTTTTTCATTTTCCTTCTTTTCCATAAGGTGTTTTTCTTTTTTTTCCGATGTACTTTGAAAATACCTTGTCAAATTGACTCAATAAATATATATTTGATTTTTCTACGAATATTATTCCATTATTTTATGCAGTTACAACTCAAATTTAATTTATATCAATTAAAATTCTATAATTGCACTTAATAAATTAAAATTATCAAACGGATCCAAAAAATTACCAAAATTTCACATGAAACAATCTATGTTCTCTATTGCCTATACAAAACGTTTGGAAGCCAAATCCTAATCCGACCGTCACTTTGACTCCAAATCTTACCAGATCCTTCTCAACGCTACGATCCTTCTTCTAAGATACTTCGGTTTGTAAACATCATAGGTGACGAATTATGCGAAACCTTCTCAATTTTTTACCACAGCCTCCATATATGATATCATCACATCATGACAAATCTCATGATTTTCATACTACGCTTGCTTTTTTTAGAATTTGAAAACCAATCGGGCACACGTTTGTGGTCGTGTTTTCGGACCAAGATGTTCGAAATTTCTTTTCATTTCTCGGGTAAGGCCTCACACTAGACTCAATAACATGAATACCATTTTTCTACTGATTTTGTTTTATTATTTGAATCACTTGCGGTTCAAATTTGACTTATACCAAAAAATTCCTAGAAATGCAATAAATTAATTAAATATAGCAAACAGATCCAGAAATATACCAAATTTTAACATGGAATACCACATGTTGTATGTCTAGAGTAGAAAATGTTTCAAGGTCAGAAGAGAAAAAAAGAAATTATTTGCGGAGTGCCACATGTTTACACTCGGCAAAACATATTTATTTGCCGAGTGCCACAGGTTTAGCACTCGGCAAACATATTTCTTTGCCGAGTGTTTTTTGTCTCCTTTTGCTGAGTGTATTTGTTTGTCGAGTTTTCCACTAACGGACACTCAGCAAACGTACTAACGGACGGCACACGTACTAACGGATGTGGACTTTGCCGAGTGCCTAGCTTTTGCCGAGTGTTTTTTTTCTCGTTTGCCGAGTGCCAAACTTTGCCGAGTGTTTTTTGCCTCTTTTGCCGAGTGCAATTATTCTACCGAGTGTTTTTGTGACAGCACTCTGCAAATAGCTTCATTGCCGAGTGCCCGATAGAATGCACTCGGCAAACATTTTAGCACTCGACAAACACCCAGTTTCCGATAGTGGTTGTTACCATAAACATACACCTTAATTAAGTAAACAAAAAGATAGTACAGGAAACCTTGCTGACAACCATAGAAACAAACAGATGGAGAGCAGGCATGCAAGCCAAGCAATTAGCGTCCTGTCTCTCCACGTAGACGATTAGCGCGACGCTTTTCCTTACGCGTCAAGAAAATCAATCAACTAGTACTGTAAACTCGCTCCGTCAGTTATGGGATACGTACTGATCAAACTCTTTAAAGTTTGACTAGATTTCACTACACCACGACACACATTTGCCTACACTTATGTGTTGGCAAAAGGCAGGTTTGGACGATATATTATGTATTGGCAATTGTATATCGTTTTAATGTCTAATCATCTATCGGCAATAAGACTGTAAGACTATAAATTATCTGTCGGCATTTCTCTGCTGACAGAAAAAGTGTCGGCAAAAATTAGAAGACTTAGAAAGTGTTGGCGTAGCCTATACAGGGCAACTGTGCAAGTGTCGGCGAAGGAGTACCCGCGCTGTGTAAAAAAATCTCCTCCCCTCCTCTCTCTCTCTCTCTTCCCGTCTCTTCTTTCCCGTAGCGCTCTCTCTCCCTCCCCAGCTCTCCCGACACGGCCACGGTGGCGCCACCGCACCTCGGCAGCGCCGGCCCTCGATGCGGTGGTGGCTGCCCACCACCTCCTCCTCCTTCTCCACGCCCTCCTCACGCCTCGTGGCCGCGCGGGCCGACGGCGCCCCCCGCCGGGTGTTGCGCCGGTGCGGAGGGTGGCCGCCCCGGCCATGGCCGACAGCGCCCCCTCCTCGGCGACACGCCTGGGGCCCACCGATGGCTACCGGCGCGGGTGCCACCCGGCGCTG